GTTCGCTGGCGCCATGTGGAACCTTCTGCTGAAGGCCCGGCTTCTTCTACTGCTAGCTCATTTGTTGGAGGCTGAATTATCAGTAGAAAATCTTCATTCCCTGAAAAATCTAGTTCGCTGGCGCCATGTGGAGGAGATCACTTTTCTACTGTAGATTACCATGTTCTTTGATCCACTTTCACCAAAAGTTCCAGAGAGATTCCCAAAGGTAAAGACCTAGTAGCATGTCTCTCCTTCAGCAGCATTTCGGAGGGACACAAGTCCCCTTTTCTATTCAAGTCTAATGGTTTTAACTGGATTGCTACTTTGGAGGTTTGTCTAGTGGTACACATCTGTGTTTTGAGCCTTGTGTTCACTGATAGTATTAAGTAGCCCTCTTGAGAGTGAGTCAGTGAGATCAATTTTATAGGTCAATGAGAGTAAAAATAAAGTTGTTTTTTCAAATCTCTCTGCTAATTATTCTAAGACACACAGCTGTAGATGGGAGGGCTATTGGTTTTGTAGCAAAGGAATTTCATCAGCACAGTAAATGCGCATCGAGCACCTGCTATGTGCCAGTCTGTACTAATCACTGAGACCAAGAAGAGTGGTACAGATTGTCTAGAGGCTGCTGCCTTGCTCAGAGTTATCCAGGCTCTGGGAAGTCCAACAGAGACCAGTGCAAATGTATGATTACACTCTAGACCTGGAAGACAGAAGTGGGTGAGCGGGTGCCAGGCCTGTGGGTGGAACATGTGTCTTAGCCAGACTACTTTACTTACAAGCCCTGTGACCTCGGGCAGGTAATTTAGCCTCTCTGTGCTCATCCAAAATAGTGGTAGTAATGCTTCTTAAGACTGATGTGAGAGGGGCCAGCAGTTACTGTAGTTGTTAAAGCATTGGACTCCCACATAGCCGACCATGGTTTGAGTCCTGGACCCGTAGCTTGAGCATCATGCTGGGCATGGGTGTGTATGATTGCCCAAAATCCCAGGACAAGAATGGAGGAAAAGGGATTGTGGCATACTCATCCCCCAGGGGGATGATTTCCCACTTTCCTTCTCTCTCTGGCTCTCTCTGATTCTCTTCAGCAAGTGCATGCATCCTATGGCAAAAACCTAAAAAAAAAAAACAAACCAAAAACCGGCCTGGCATGAAGAGTGAAGTGCGCCTGCTCAGAGCCTGGCCCGTGTTGTGTGGTGGTGGTCTGTATCCTCACAGCCATCGCCTGCCCTCAGTGTTTAGGAGCCCTGGGTGAGCAGGCAGCAGGTCAGCGGCTGGGGAAATTATTAAGTTCAATGAGAAGACTGGAGTTAAAGGAAAGACTAAATGGTTTTTCACAAATCATAGAAAGAGGGGAAACTGTCTCATTTCCTTTTTTTTGGCGAGGTTTTTACTATAGACTGCATGTGCTTGCCAGGAAGACAGAGAGAGACAGAGAGACCGAAAGCGAGACATTACCTTCCGGGGGGGTGGCCACACCGCAATCCTGTCTCCTCCATTCTCCTCTCGGGATCCTGGGCACGCACGCACATGTGCCTGGAGTGAGTTTAAGCCACTGGGTCCGGGACTCAAACCGCGGTTGACTACTACATGGGAGTCCAGTGATGTAGCCATTATGCTAACTGCTGGTCCTGAAACTGTCTCATTTCTGAGTATATTTACTTACATTTCACTCACTGATTAAGTGACCCTATTACCATGTGACTGTAAATTACCTTGAATTTCCTGAAGTGCCTTTGACCCTGAGAACCAGAGGAATTTCAAATGTGTGGTTAAAGAACTTAGCCTTTTGGCCTTCCATCTCAGTAGTCATTGGAGAGCTGCAGCCATGGCTCTGCGGTATCCCTTGGCCGTGGGCCTCAATAAGGGCCACAAAGTGACCAAGAACATGAGCAATCCAAGGCACAGCCGCCGCGGGTGCCTCACCAAGCATACCACGTTCATGCGACATGATCCGAGAGGTGTACGGCTTCTCCCCACGAGCAGCTCACCATGGAGCTGCTCCAGGTGCCCAAGGACAAGTGCCCTCAAGTCCATCAGGAAGCAGGCGGGGCCCCCCCCAGCACAGGTCCACGCCAAGGGAAGCGTGAGGAGCTGAGCAGCGTCCTGGCCACCATGCGGAAAGCTGCTGCCAGGAAGGACTGAGCCCTCCCCGTGCCAATAAAGCTGACTTAACCCACCACCACCACCCCCGCCCCCCAGTAAAAAACAAAGCAGCTTAGCCTTTTGACCAGGCTGCTTCAGTTCATCTCCCAGAGTTCTGCTACACAGAGCAGCCAGTCGTAGTGTGTAGGCCCCGTCTGTTGAAGCAGACACTGTTTCAGAAGAGGCTTTCTAAACCTCCTGCGAAGCCCCGGAAGCCTAGGGGACTGGTGGAGTAATAGCTGTAACGCTGGCTCTGGTGTGGGTCCCCAGTAGGATCTGGAAGGGAGAGCAGAGAGCAGGGCCATCCAGGTCCCGGCCCTTTCATCAGCCCGTCCCCGTTTCTCTCTTCCCAGATGGTCACCCTAGCATCACTGTTGAGCAGTGAAGTGAACAAATGTGTTAATTTCACTGCCAAGTAGTTCTGCAGACGGGGAGACAGCAAAGAGGATAATGAGAAGCACATCAGATGCCACCATTGATGAGGCTCCTCTTCCCCGTTGCTCAGATGATAGCACCAGACAAATGGGATACCGAGAGGCGGATTTGGGATATTCAGAGTATCAGGTGGAAAAACCTGATGGTAAGCCTGACCTAGGATGGAGTGAGATAGCTGTGGGTTGTATCACACAGCGCACAAAGGGAAGGAGGGAAGGAGAAGAAAATTAGGAGCAGGACACAAGTTCACGAAGGGTATCAGCAGTGAGTGGCCATGTCTACCGCCATGTCGCAGCTGCTGTAAAGTTTAGCAGTTTAAAACAACCCCCTCTATTCCCTCACAGTTTCTGCGTCTCTAGACCCAGGTGCAGCTCAGCAGAGGCCCTGCATCCAGCATCCTGCAGGGCGTCAGCCAAGGCGTCAGCCAGGCCTGAGGAGCAGTGTCCCTCTGAGCTCACCCACGTGGCTGTCGGCAGACGCGGAAGATGCGCTTGCAGGCCGGCTTGCTGACTGCCGACTGGAGATGGCACTTCCTGCCACGCAGGCCTCTCTGTGGGGGCGCCCCCAACATGGCATCTAGCGTTGCGCAGTGCAAGGGGAGAGACAGGGAGCACAGAGGCAAGATGGATGTCAGCCTGCCCTCCCCTCAAAGGCGGCATCCTATGGCTTTTGCCATATTCTTTTCCATAGAAGCAAGTGGTGAGGTTCACCCCAAGGGCATGAGTACCTGGAGGCAGGGATCACTGGGAGCTGGTGTAGAGGCTGCACGCCAGTCCCCACTGCTGTCCAGTTCTAGGAGACTGCAGCCGGCCAACCTGAGGAGGGGAAGTCGACTCGGTGTGGTCAGAGGAAATAAGCATCCTTCTAGGGTCTTTCTTGCTGGTAACAGAGAGATGGTGAATTACCTGCAGTCCACAGAAGTCACTTCACTGGAATCTTACTGTAGGTTCTCAAACTGCGTTGTATCCAGGGTTCCTTTTGGAGATGACAAAAAAAAAAAAAAAGGAATTTCAGAAGTATAATTAAACTTTATACAGCCACTCTGATTAGGAAGCAAGCTAGAGCAAAGCCAAGCAACACAAAGTCTAACTTGTCTGCGATTCCTCTTTGGGAAGAGAGGAGAAAGATAAACATCTCTGTAAACAGGAATTTCCAGCGTCTAGGGGCCGGCAGGTGATGTGGTGGTAGGAGGACCAGGAGTAGCACGGTGGTAACGCATGTGGACATTCGTGGGAAAGGCCTGGGGTGCATGTCCTTGGACCTCCCTGAGCACAGTGGAGACATGCATGCTGCGATCCAGTCCCACTCAGACCCGGGTGTGAAAACCCTGTTAAGGGTATCTGTGTGTGTGTCTGTCTCTTTCTCTTTCTCTCTCAAATAAATTTTAAAGAGCTAAAAAAGAAAAAGAAAAAAAAAGTCTCATGAAATAAAAACAGGGTGACAGATGTAAAGTTGAGATCCAGTGGTCAGTGGTTGGGGAAGGCCTCCAGCAGAGGTAGCCGAGCAATATTAGAGCATGGAACGGGAGTCCTTAAGAGGACAGGAGTGAGGGACCAGCAGTTAGCGTAATGGCTATGGCGCTGGACTCCCATGTAGTCCACCGCGGTTCGCGTCCCGGACCCAGTGGCTTAAAACTCACGCTGGGCGCGTGTGTGTGCGTGCCCAAGACCCCGAGAGGAGAATGGAGGAGAGGGGATTGCGGCGTGACCATCCTCCCTGGGGGGTGATTTCTCGCTTTCTCTCTCTCTGTTTGTCTGGCGAGCGCCCGTGCCGTATAGCAAAAACCTCTCCAAAAAAAAAAAAAAAGAGAGACAGGAGTGAGCACAAGACAGCAGGGTTTGCTGGAACTGCCGCTGGGGAAGAAGGTGCAGTGGGCGAGGGGCTGCCGGAGAGGCAGGCAGGGGGTCATGTCGCTGAGGGCCTTGCTTGCCAACATGAGGAGCGTGTGTGTCCTGTGGCTGGCTGAGCTCTCCTGGGTACTTTCATTCCACAGATCATAATGAAATGTCTTGAGGATGGCGAAGGACATTCAGCCTTTCAGAGAATTCTGGATAAAGTGAGGGATGACAGCCTGGATGTTCAGACGGTTGTGTCCCTGTTGAGGCTTTACCAAGATTCTAATCCTGCAGTAAAAACGGCACTGCTACACCGAAAGCCAGAAGATGTAGAAACTGTGCAGCCAAAAGGTAGGAGAAGATCCTGTCCATTGGAATGACTGTTTTTTCCTGGGGAGATGCCGTACAGCTCGTTCCAATGATACATTTCTTTTGGCTCAGTTATTATTAGGTGGTTTTCAGTAAGTTCTACATGTAAATCTAGAAGCTGCATGTTAAATATATGCAAACTGAATGTGAATCTCCATTTCTATCTCCTGGTTAGCTAGTCTGATACCTTGAAGTTGGAGAATAGCATCAGTGTTCTCCTGCCCTTCAAAAAGCCACACGTCCAAATCAATGGCTCGAGCACCCAGGGTGAACCGGTTTGCTGACAGCACTTAGAGGCTGAAGTTTCCCTCATTTGGGTTAGGTACAAAGCAGTGGCCTTGCCAACCAGAAGTTAACCTCTGGCTGGCTCTGCAGCTTTGTGTTTCGACAGATAAATGAAACATTTTTCCTTTCATAGAGTTTAAACAGAATAATAAAGTATTTTCCTCTCTAAAAGAGATTCTGCATTCAGGTGCTCAGAATAGGCTGAGAATCACTTTGCTATTCTGTTAGATCTCTCTTGACAAACCATGCTGTCATTTTCTTCAAATTGACTAGCTTCTCTTGTGTGTCTCTAACTCTTTCTCCCCCAGGGAGCGCAGAGGAGGGAAAGACCTTGTCTGTTCTGTTACTGGAGCACAAAGAGGACCTGATACAGTGTGTAACACAGCTGAGACCGATTATGGAGTTCCTGGAAACAGCCAAGGAGGAGCTCCTGCCTGGCACTGAAAAAACGGTAACTGTGTCAAATATTCCTCCCCTTCCCAAGTCATCAGCACTGTTTCGAAACCTTTTTTTGTGGCAGGTGAATACCTGCAGTATATTCTTACACATTCTGCATAGGCAGCACCTCGACATTCAGATTCTTTCCTCGTGCCCCTTTCTGTCCCTTGCGGGAGCTCACTCAGGGCCTGGCACGTGGTAGCCACACAGTGGATGTTTGGATGGGTGGGTG